GCCGCGTCTGAGGAAACGATACCCAATTGTATCATTCCCAAGTGGACATTGTCATTGTACCAAGTACAACAACGCCGTCCATTCCAAACGCAACTCACCAACCATGTTACCATGTTTGGCTTGCCCGTTTGTGGAAACAATACCCAATTGTATCATTCCCAAGTGGACATTTGTCATCAAATGACAATACTCCACTGTCGCAGTCCCTCGTTCAACATATCAACCCCAACATTGTGTTTCGAATACCATTTTCCCCTTGATCATCACGGTTCTTGTGTTGCTTTGCCGTCTTGTTTACGTCGTGCACATCACCTTTTGTTCCAATCACTCAAAATCGCTTACATTAATGTTTATTCGTCATGTGTCTACCATGTGTTTACCCCATTTGTGTAGTGTTCAGTTGAATCGGTTGGTTCCTACATGGAACCCACTGGTTTGAAACAATTGCGCTGGTATTTTTCGCGGTAATCATCATATATGGTGTGCACTGTAATCATTGTACCAAGCTATTTGGTATTGAATCAAATTCAATTAGAATCAAATTTAAACCCAATCCAAATACAATCCAAATCCAAATCAAATTCAATTTAAAATTATGAATCCGAATCCGAAAATCCGAAAATTCAAAATCCACAAATCTAATCCAAATCCAAATTGGCCCAGTCAAATCATTACTCCATATATAATAATTGGTACTACTAAGATTTAAACCTCGCTAGTTGTCCCAATCCATCTTGTCCAACTGTTCAATACACATTCACGGTATCCACATTGTAGTAATTGCATATCCAAATCAAGATCAAAAAATCAAAAATCCAAATATTGCAACCACATCACATCCTAAACATCAACATTTGCTTTTTCAAGCCATTGGTTCATCTGGTTCTGTACACTTCCTAATCAATTCGGTTTTGCTTCACGCATTCCGTGCTAATCTCGGTTGTGTAGGTCATCAAATCACCCTGTCGGGCCCAATATGCCGTTCAAAAAACTGCTGATTCATATCAAAAAGCATTATAGTAACAGATATGGTCGTGCCGAATACTGTCATCGCTGTCAGTAGTGCCATTATCATCACTATAATTTAGCCATTATATTCCGAGTCACCCAAATCTACCATTGTGCATAGCTTCGGGGTGGAAACCAAAAACCACATAGTGCTAACCCATCAATGAGCACCAATTAATAATTACCCGACGGATTGCTCCGACAAACGCTGCTCCCTCCATATCAACAAATACGGCGGGGACGTTCCAAGTGATAATTACAATTGGCTAGCTATCAAAAGCCTATCAATGTGTGCTGCACCGATCTGTTCTGCCCGCCGAGTTATTTCATCGGGTTGTGCTCTCACAGATATCCGGTTCTTGGATCCTTCCACACTGAATAAATGACCCTGTTTAAGTCTCGTTATTTTTCTGATTATGCCAAATGGTTTGTTGAAAAACATTGCTTTGGTAACGTCTCGGCAATTTAATATTACTTGGCCGTTTTACATGTCAATTATCGTCGTGCCATGACCATACATTCCAGTCTGTATTCGTCACCAATATCAATCAATGGCCATTCATCATCACTTTATACAATGCTATACGTTATACTGTATCGCATACTGCCGGTTTGATTGCTGTATTACCATCCTGTCATCAAAACTGTATCTAGTGTGTGTTGCTGTAGTGATCATCTTTTTGTACGCATTATAATGTCCATGCTCCATTGTTGTTTGTGCTCCATTCACTGTTGATCTGTACACCATTGTATCCGCAATCATCGTACCTCCATATCCATATACATATACTTACATATCGCTTGCATCGTCATCATGTACTGTGCCATTGAATTGCAGTGTGTTGTCCATGTGTGGGACGTGCGTTTTGTACATGTTCAATTACGCTTGATCATTACAATTTTATTGCAATCATTTGTAGTCCCATCAGTAACACTCGGATTGTATCCATATTTCAACTGGTTGTGTATACAACATGTATGCATGTTACTGTCCAATATCACAGTGATCCGACCACCATCATACAGTGTATCATGAGTGTATCATTACCCCACAATGCGTTGTTTTTTTGCATGATTTTGTGTCGTATTTCAATACTATTCAACCGTTTATTTTGACCCTATACAACAGCCATTGTAACTCTGTATTGTTACCATATTGTAATGTGTATATACATGTCATCGAGTCAACCAATGCAGTACTGTATAGGCATATGGCTGCATTTGCATCACCACCCAATATTCGTACAAAAAAAAACCGGCAATTGAGCCGTAATCCAATGCATACGTATGCTGATCACCACCATAATTGACCGCTGCATTAATATATCCGCATTCGGACACTCCAAACGTCATACTAACCACTCGTGTCTGATATTATCCGGACATTCGGACAGGATACCATGTCTGATATTCGGACAATATATCCAACTTTGTCAATATTGATGCTATCGTATTGATATATTGACCATTGTAATATATATACATGATATGTATACAGTCCAAACCACAGCGCAATAAGTCGTGTTTTGAGTGTATACCGACGTGTCCAATTCGGTCGACAGTCGTGACTATAACATGTTGTTAGTTTAGTTGACAACATGCCATGATGCATGTCCAATATATAGTATGTATATACATACATGTCCAGTATCAATCGCATGCATGTAGTGTCATTATTCATCGAGATACACGCATTTCCAGTTTCATGTCAAATATTCGTGCTATGTGCAAGTTGTATTTTTTGCATGTATCGTATGACAACACATGCATGCATTGTACATACCAATGCCATGTGCATATACTGTAGCAGTTTCATGCAACTAGTGTCACTATTGACGACGATATACGACATCAAACACGTCAAAACGTCATTTTCGGACTTTGGTCGACCCATTCCATGTCAGATATTGACCATAGTGCGTCAGTGACATCATAATTCGATCCGCAACACATAATTACATATATGTGGTGCATACCAAGTCATTTGGTCGACTTTTGTGGTCATAGTCGATATTAAAGTTTTTAGTTTGCAATTGGTTTGAAACGACGAGCTCTACTTGTTATTTTAATCTAGTATCGTGTCTATCAGTCAATCAACAATTTATCTTGTATGCAAATGCGTCAAAAATACATGTAGTATATCGTTCTGATTCGATATTAGTCGGCATTGACATTGTACGACCACTACTGACCAAGTTATTAACATATTATCGACTAGCTCATACTGTCCCAGCATGTCGTCAAGAAAACCATCATATATTACAGTGTTGTGCCAACAAACATGCATGGATTGCATTGAAACTGGACATGATACAATATCAAGTGTATACATGTATTGTCATGGCATCAAACTGACATGATATCATGTATTGGTTGTGTAATGGACCATAATATATGCCAACAAAACGCTCCAAATCAGGCATGATTATAGTCGTAAATATATTATTGTGACTGTGTTGTTGGACAGTGACTATCAATGATTATCAATAACTACTAATGACTATCAATAACTGTCAATGACCATCAATAACTATCAATAACTGTAAAAACGATCAAGGTTTGTAGCCTGACAGTGTACAACCGAGTTTATTAAATCGTGTAATTCTGGTCGTTATTCGACTTTACCCAACACTTGAACACTCGATTGTTGCATACAGTTTGACAGTTGTCATACATGGCCATGTGTATGATGTTGTATAACCAGAGACGCAGTAGTATTGCCATGTGTTGGTTGAATCGACATACTCGACACACACTAGCCAATGCAGTTTTGTCCGAATCCCTATTTTTGTTGGCTGTAGTTTTGCACAAACTTGAAACAGTCGTCGTAACAGTGTTACTGTCATTGTCATCAAGCTGTAGTATGTGTGACTGTAGTATTGGTTGAGCTATTGACCATGTATTCGAGTATGAACGACTGTAGTTTTTTACAAACAATTGGTCAAACAACTGGTCAAACAACAGTCAAACAACTAGTCAGAATGCAGGTCTGGACAATCGTCAAACAACTGGTCAGAATGCAGGTTGAAATACTGGTTAAACTAATCAAACACTCGTCAAATACACTCGTCAAATACAAGTCAGAATAACAGTCAAACAACTGGTCAGAATGCAGGTTTAAACAATCGTTAAACAATCGTCAAATACTGGTCAGAATGCAGGTTGAAATGCAGGCTAAACTAATCAAACAACAGGTCAGAATGCAGGTCAAATACTCGTCAAATACACTCGTCAAATACTCGTCAAAATACTGGTCAGAATAACAGTCTAAATACTAGTCAGACAACTGGTCAATATGTGGATTAAACAATCGTCAAACAATCGTCAAATACCGGTCAGAATACTAGTTTAAATACTCGTCAAATACACTCGTCAATTAAACTATACAGTGCATTTGATATTCATACATTACACAATCAATCGTTAGTGAATATGCCAGTCATCGATATGTATTGTAGTCAAATGAATGTATCGGCCATTGTAACATGAATATATGATGTGTATACAGTCCAAACTACAGTGTAGTATCGTGTGTTTTGAATGTGTTCCAGTTGCGTCCAATTCAGTCGACAGTCGTGATTATAACATGTTTCCAATTTGATTGACGATATGGCCTGATGCATGTCCAGTATATAGTATGCATGTATACTCATGTTCAGTGTCAATCGCATGCATGTAGTGTCACTATTGGTCAAGATATATCCAATTTTGGTATCATGTCAAATACTAGTGGTAAGTATAAATTGTATATTTTTTTGTAATTTCATGACAATACATGCATGCATCGTACATACCAATGCAATATCTATATACTGTAGCAGTTTCATGCAACTAGTGTCAGTATTGGTCAAGATATTCGACATCAAACACGTCAAAACGACACCTTCGGACATGCATTTGGTGGTCATGATACACATTGATATACTGCCCCAATGACGACGTAATCATATACACAATACATGACTGTATGTGTGCCATACATTGCAGTTGAT